ACTCCACAATGCCTTTTTTCCAAGAGAAAAGACCGGGTTACTTGACTACTCTATATTTCCAAAAAGTCGTTTATAAAAAGCATAATATGACTAGCTACTTTAAATGCAAGACTATAGAAAAAAGGAAGACTGTAGCTGCGACCGGGCTGGTTTCATTAGTGCGTCGCAAAGGTCGCCACGCCAAATGGTCCTATTCTGCCTCTCCAAAGGCTTGGTCTAGTGGGAAGGTCGAGCAGATTTAGTTTGTACAAATGGATCAGCGATCTAAGTCTTCTAAATTATTCCCTTGGCTTGCCTATACAATAATCTGGCGGTACACCAGCCCAATCGGCTGGGCAGCGCACTGTAACTATTATGCAAAAATCTAAGGTGGGAGTGGGCGAAGTAACTGAGCCCAGTAAAATCATAATTCTAGCGTAAGCTGGTTCCATTCGGCCATAACGAAGTCGCGGAGTGCAGTCATGTGCCTTGTGGTTGAAGCCATGGGTATCGGCGTGCGTCTGTAGCTCCGCGTTTGGTTAACAGACAGAGACCTCGACGGAGCCCCGGGATTACCTCGACGGGTGTGGGTACCTGGGATATCCGCCGATTGGTCAGGCAAGATGCTGCTCCTGGGGTTCTCTTCTGCCTCTCCAAAGTGGAAAGGATGCCGGCTACAATTTTTGTTCCAAAGGCGCTGATTAGTGACAGAATGAGAATTTTGATAATTCCTACTGTAATTCTGATCTGATCCATTCGAATATATATTGCGGATCCTGTGAAAGTCATTGCCAGCCAGTGGCTGAGCTTGATGCTGCCTTCTTCTCTGCCTTTTATTCATCACTAGCATGAATCCTGATCCGAGATCGGGATCAAAATCACAGTTAGCTGGCATGTCGTCAGAATGACTATTTAAGGAAGGCATAAAAGAGACAGCATTGTTGATATAATTCCCTTGAGGTGGTGGGTAGGTGACAGGCTCTCCTGACTCAGATTCTGGTGATCCATCACGTTCGGGCTCTTTGAGAAAATTGGCTTTGGATGCTTTGGGGTGTTTTTTTCGTTTAATTTTATCACTCTTTTTGGAGGTAAATGGGATTCCATTTACACAATTTGGGTACACAAATTCATGTTGGAGATTTACATTAGAATTGGTTATGTCTGAATAGACACGCTCAGCAACCTGAAAGAGTAAGATATCCGTTTAAAAGGACAAGCTCTGTATAGAACAGGTGGGAATACTTCTACATACCTTTTCCGTGGATGAGAGTTCAGTGCTAGAACAATTACCGTTACACTGAGTAATCGGAGGGACTTTGAGTTCCTCAGGCATAATGACCTGATCAGGATATATATAGATTCCAGGGAGGCTGTTAAGCAAGCCACCACAAGAAGAATAGGATGCCTGTCGGATGAACGGTGAATTTGAGGGGTCAATTTGTCCAATTAAATGCTTATGGGGGAAACCGCTGATCGAGGTTCTGTTGAACGGGCAAACTGTAGTAGTACTGGGGATTCTTGCGAGCTTCATAACTCTCAAAGGAATCGTTTCATCATACTGCTTTTCTATGGGGTACTTAGTTCCTTTGAGCAATGAGTCTTGAATAACTTGATGTATTGACATCTTCGAGCCATATTTAGGCGATTCATCGCGCTTGAAAGTATCATGGTCTAACAAAGACTCAGAAGAGACGGGAGAAATAGGTGCATCATTTGTCGTCGAGGAGGAACTTAGGGATCCTAAGGATCCTTCGTCATTTACAGACATTTTATCAAACTGAGTCTTCTGCAAGCTAAACTTTGGATCTAATTCGGGATTTATGATCTTATACGAAACATCAGAATTTGCATCTAAAGCTCTATCTTTATCCACCCATGACCAAGTGTCTGCAAATTTGTGCTCGCACTGACTAACTCCAATAAGTGGAGCATTGACATATGAAATAATCAACGAGTTGTCCATGGATAAAATGAAAGGCCTGATTAAACGCTCTTAAGTAATGCAGAGGAAAACCGCCCAAAAAGTATAGCGTTTAGTGCATCAGAGGGGGCAGGGAGAAAGACGTAATCACCGAGATGCTGGGTTCAATCAGGGCGGCGTTT